ACCTAAGTTTGTCAATATCTGAAGATTTAATGAGTTTTTCCATTCCAGGAATTAAAATATCTATCAACAAGAGTTGTGTAACTTTTCTGACTGTTATGGGTTTTTATTAAAAATACTTATATTATTAAGCAAAAAATAAAATTGTGGCGTCATCTGTTATAAAAAGTTTTTATGACAATATCTGATATTTTTAATTACTGTAAAATGGCAAAAAGCTTAATTTTGAAGGTAGAGCGAGTTTTATAAGAGAGTGTAAATGTTAATAGCGAATAAAATTTTCATTAAGTCCTACCCCTCTCGAAATACATGAAGCCCTCTATCTTCCCAACCTCTTGACCTTTCACCACCAAAATTTAATAGCATCAATGCCCCTCAAACAAGCCACCATGCCAAATTTCATTTCTTAATCTCTATCCCATCCTGATATATTAAGTAAAATAGATGTCAACACACACAGAATTTTTTTGCCTTTTGGATTCAGGAATCTCAAAACCTAGATTTGCAAAAAGCTTGAAGGGTCAAATTTGACATGATTCCCATACATTCCCTTGTTATGTATACATAACAGATTGCAAAGTAAAAATTATGGGAAATTTGATGCTTTTTTTACTGTCAACAATATCAAAATGCTGTTGCCTATCCTTTACTCTGTTTTAATATATAACTCAAAAGTTGATCATTTTGCCCAGAAAATGCAGAAAAAATAGTCTTCAATTTAGCAGTCCAAAAATTTTAAAATTTTTGCCAAATTCTGGGAGTCTCCTGGCAAGTCTGGGAAAGTTGACAACATGATTAAATCCATTAAACAGAAGAGGAGGACTGTTTTGGTATGGGGTATATGTATGGAGTTGGAGTAGATGATTTACCTTTCATTGAATCTACCATGAATAAATTTGATTATTTAACTATACTAAAATCTAATTTCCAACAAGACAATGATCCTGAACATACAGCTTGGATTGTTCAAGAAAGGTTATTTTACTTTAATTAATCAAGTCAAAGGTAAACGCATGCATTCAGAATTACACACCAAATATAAACAAATAAAAATGTTTCTAGTTATCTCAATGCTAAAGATATTGAATTACAGACATTAAAATTTCAAATTAAATAATAGTTTTATTTTTGTACCATAGAGAATGTATTTGAATGTTCTTGCATTATAGAAATATTTCATTGTATCTTTATGTTTATATCTATAATTTATATAATAATAATAAACTGTCAATTATATTATACAAAACAAAATCGATATTGATATATTCATTTTAATATAATCTACGTTGTTTTAAATTTGTTTGATCCCACACTTTTTTTATACAGGGTGCATAGGAAAGTCGCTTTAACTGGAAAATTCTTACGAACAGATAGAGCTACAGCTATGCAAGTGAGGTAATGGTATAGTAAAGTGACTACTCCCAACCTAATGCAAATGACAGCAGCGCCCCTAGTGGCAAAATTTGGAAGATAGGCAGTGCAAATCGAAAACGGAAACAGATAGAGCAAACTTTCCAATTAGAAAGTTTTAGAACATCAATTAATTAGTACGAAACAACACGTGGTTCACACAGATAAGATAAATTGTCGCCCGTATTCCCAAAAATGTCCGAAAGCGATGCATGCCATTTTGTGTAAACGTTTGAAATAGCCATAGGTATGAAGAAATACACACAATTTATTGCATAAAATACATACTTATGTCAATACAGTTTAATAACAATGGCGTGTATTGTGAGCAATGGCAAACTTTTCGAACATACTTGACATTAACTTATCACTGTGTGACAGTTTGCCTTTCCATTGTTTTTTGTGTGATGTTATCAAATATATATTTATAGTAGTGCCTTATATATGTTAGGCTCAAAGACCGAAAATGCTCACTTTAAATCATCCACAACGCAAAATTCGCATTATGGCTTTTATGATACTTGACCACTTTGCATTGTGATGATTAAGAAAAGCCATAACTCATTCTGAATGCTGTTGCAACCACAATATGATGGGTAGGTCGAAATTGGTTCAAATATTTTAGTTAGGGTGCCTGATGTCGATAGGGGATGTGCAGCTCCCACAAATGTTTTAGCTGTTATGAGAATTAATCTATCAGGTCTCTATCAGTTAGGAAACAAGAAAGGCCTTGATTGACTTTATGCTCATAATGAATTTACAATTTCTGAGAGTAACTTTATTAACATTCAGGACATACCCTCAACTTCATTAACACTTCACTCAGCATCCATGTTAACATCTGGAAGTATATATGGAAGTAAGCAAGGGTTTATAATGTGTCACTGTAAAAGATACCATATTGATAAAAAATGCAAATGTTGCTCAAAGAACATAAAATGCAACTCTAAATATCACGATAATGGTTCTTGTAAAAATAAATAACTCTGCAACATTCTTGATTCACATAAAAAAGTCTGATTTATTAATAAAAGTTCCTGACAAAGTAATTTGCCCACCAGTGGCCAAGTGCTCTTCGTACCCTAAACACTGGGAGTTCGGTCGTGGGTTCGCGCCGCGATCGGACAGGCTGGCTGCTTGGAGTTTTCCGAGTTTTCTCCTTGCCAATAACGACTAAATAGGAGGCCAATTCCCCATAAAAGTCCTCCCGGAAGGCATTAGTTCCCCTCGCATAACATCGCGTCCCAGAGAAGGCAACGCGAAACCACTCTGGGTACTAACTTTCGCTAGTAACGCCTTGGTGTAGTGACTAACTACTTACTAATCTGCGCCGGGTGTGGCCGAGGTCGGGAAAACGTGATATGGCACTATGAAAGAAAGAAAAAAGACAAAGTAATTATTTTTAGTAAATTAGTTGTTTGAAAATGTTGACATCCCAAGCACCGCAACAGATTTTCATGAATGATTAAATGTTGAAAAATAACCACATTACATTTCTGTATGTAGTGAATAATTTTGTTACTTACATAAGATTATTGAAGATAAATACATCAGAATGAAAAAGAAAGTTTTATTTTCTTATCATCAGCTTGTTATTACTGGTTGCTTTTAACAATAATAAATCCGTCGTACAGTGGTTTTTAACTTCAGCAGCTGATTTTTATGTTATCGTATAGAGTACATCAAGCACCTACTAGTACATGTAGTTAGACCTTTAGCACTTTTAAGCAAATAAAAAAAAACAAATTTGTATTTTTCTCCATACATTTTATTTCTTTGAAACTTTTTTTAAGTATGAAAATTAAATTTCTAGGAAAACTTGTAGAACTAACATTGTTCAGCATTAAAAATTATAAATAAAAATGTTTCAAAGCTAGAACTCATATTTTAGAGTTACAAACAACTGTGCATCATATCATCCTCTATCATGGTTGCATCAGCTAATGTTCAGAATGCCCTATGGCTTTTCTTAATCACAACAACACAGTGGTCAAATATCATGAAAGCCATGATGCAAATTTCACATTGTGGTCATTTTTTTCGCTCAATGAGTGTTTTCAGTCTTTGAGTCTAACATGTATATATAGTGTGTCTCAGTTAAATGTTTCAGAACTTCTGAGAGGGATAGGGTGCATCCCGACAACTCGGAATCATATAGCAATGCACGGTTGGAAATGCTTTCCTGAAGCAGTGATGTACACAGAAACAGCTAACCTCTGGTGCATGCTTGCAAAGAAATTATGGCTGGGAAACGCCTCATCGGATATCATTCTATGTACAAGCACTGTGCGGCTGGCCCACTACAATCTGCAGGCCCATACACCAAATGCATATTGGCTAACTCTGCGTCCTTGTGTGAAATGATGATTCCCTGCAAGAATGCTCAAACTTTCGCGCAATGCCATCTACTGAGTCAGGAAAGCATTTCCGACCCCACATTGCTATATGATTCCAAGTTGTCAGGATGCACCGTACCCCTCTTAGAAATTCTGGAATATTTAACTGAGACACCCTGTATATATATAGAATGAATATTGTGAATATTGATGGATCAAATCTGGATAAAATATTTGACTTCTAAACTATATTATGGCTTAATACCATCTACAAGATAAATTCTCCACTTCTAGAAGAGACTTTCATTGATCTAAAAATCAAAAACTTTCATTTGTATAGTAGTGTTTACTATATAATTATTTTATATAGTAAAATATAAATTACAATAAATATACTTGTTTAAAACAATAACTATATAACGTTATTTTCTACTTGTAACTGATATCCACTATCATAAATTTTAAATATTTTTTTAGTAATTATTGTAAAATATTAGTACAAAGTGAAACCAAAATTAATGATCTATATATATAACCCATTCAACAGGTGTCCGTCCTTCCTTCTGTCCCGTAACCGTTTGATAACTGGGTAAAATATCTAGTACATAAATATTATTACAGTTATAGAATCCATTACAGTGATATAAAACAATCAACATGATTAAATATACTTTATACTTTAAGCCACTTTCACATGATGTGGTTTGCATGGCCATGGCAAGCAATGGTTGCATAAATTGCCATTAGCTGATGATTTCTGTGGAACCTTTGCACGATATGGTTATGGTAAAATACCATTTGTGACTAGTTTTGTTTTGCTGCATGGTTTTTTGCCATGGAATGGTCAAGATTATTGTGTACTTTTATACTCTTATATGAACTACTGTTCCAAATAAATATGAAAACAAACTAATTGAAAGTACAGAAAATATTGTGTGTACTGTCACTGTGAATAGACAATTGGCTGCCGTGTTTAGATTATGACACTGTTGTTAGCCACTGCCACAGTTTTAAACCAGATCACGTGAAAGGGGCGTAAACATGTTTCTGTTCTTTAGTAACATACATTAAACAGATAATTTAAACAATTCATTTGAAATCTGGTGATGATGTTCAAGTTTGTGTGAAAGTCTTTGTATAATATGCTTTATTTAAATATAGTCAATCCCCCTATAACACGTTTTATATGAATACCATGTTGTATGAGTCACTTAGATTTTACAAATACGTGCCTTGATATAAAGAAAATTCATTGAAATAATAATTTAATAAACAGAAATATAATCTATGTTACTCTAATTGAAAAAAAAAAAACAATTTATAAACCAATTAATATTAAATTTTAGTGATATTTACAAATAGGTATGCAGAAATTTGAGGATTTAGAATCATTAGATAACTTTGAAGAAGCAATTAAAGCTGTTGTAAGAGATATTAAAGTAGCAGAGGTAATTAATAATTTATATATTTATTATAATTAAACATATCTATCCATAATAAAAAGTGCATACATATTTTTTAGGTACCAAAAAATATAAAAAATTTATTAGAAGATGAAGCATGTATTAATTTAACGTCGGAGGTAGGTTGTACTATATTTAAATTTTTCCTTCTTTTAAAAATTTTGTCATTTTGATGTGTTTTGTTTAATTTTATATGTATAAATTAATAGAAAATGATAATTAGAGTAGAATATTTATTATGCAATCTTACAAGTTATATACTTTTTCCCATTAAGATGGTCTTTTTTCCATACCCATCATGCCCACCAAGCCTCATATCAGGTGTTTAAGGACTGGGCTCAACATTACTCATATAAAAGTCATCGTGTATGTGAGTTCTTTATAACTCCTGCAATTTTTGTCCAGTCCAGATGGAATTTTGGTTATATTTCTTTTATGTTCTGACAGAAAGTATAGTCTACTTATTTTGTTTAAACATTAGTTATTGAATAAACATTTCATCGATTTTGGATCGGTGATTGCACTTACATTGCAGTGACGTCAGTGACCATGTGATGTTCTGTTATCTGATCAGAAGTTACGATCTAAAGATCCCATTATTTACAAAATGTTATTGCTCATCTAACTAATGTATATACAATTTATCTTTGATTTATCAATGTGGAATTAAAAAGACTTGCTGTTTTATCAACTAAAAAAAAAAATTGTCTGAGGGAAAGTGTAATAGTAAAATTGATCAGGTAAATTCTAGAGGCCATGAAATTTGACTTGTGCAACATGTAATAAGAACGGCTTTGTCAAGGGCTGCAGAAACAACCTCACAATTTCAGGCTTGAGTTGAAGCTCTTCTCAATTCTCCAGTCTCTACTTTTTCATAAAACATATTCCATCATGCTTGATGGGGAAAATCCTAGTATTTACATAGTTACTTTTTTTGATTTTTTACCTTAATTGATCCCTGCTGAATACCGGATTTGGCAAGGATCGATTCTAAGTGGCCTTTTTTTTTCTGCATATATCAAAAGTTGTTCATTAATTTAAATTCCTCTATTAATGCCTATGCAGATGATATAAAGTTGTTGAATCATGATCTCACTACTCTCCAATTCGATCTTCACCTCTAATCCTCTGTCTTTAGTAAAGTTAACCTTAGAATTAATGTACAAAAATCTGTAATAATGTGTTTTTCTTTACTCGGGAATTTAATTTTACCACTCCTTTTTATAAGCACTCATACTTTGCAATATGTCAACACATACAATGATCTCAGATTTATTTTTGACACTAAATTAACTTTTAAAAGCCACATAGACAAGATGGTAAAATCATTGGCCATCTTTTACAGGATATTACGGGCATTTTCGTAAAACCAGATTCTCTAAATCTATTCTACAATCCATATTTTTTTTCTCAGTTTTCAATCCTTCGTGGACTGTTGTATTCCCGTTTGGTAAACTTTACCTACTTTTTAATAAGTTTAGTAACCTTCCACAAACCAATAACCCAAATGTCCCTAGAGTAAGACTAGGATTTCCGGATATCTTTGGGAGAAATAAATATTTTGATTGAATTCTCTTTTTTTAAATATTTTAACGATCTAATTCAACTTTGGCTAAATTTAAGAATTTTTGGAAGAAATACCCTTAACACTACATGTACATATCCCCCATTTTCGTTTGTCTTTGTCACATAGATCTTATTTTTATCAAATAGCTGATAACATGGGCCCAATGGAATGTCGACTCCGTGAAAAATTTGCTCATCATAAGCAGGCATGTCGACATTTCTTATATAACTCTTAAATCTGTTTTTTTACTCTTTACTTCTTAATTATTATTAATATTTTTACTATTTTATCTTTTATTCCTGCATTTTTGCTTGTTACAATTACATTTTTTATTTAGCATACTGCCAAATATATGTTTTTTAATGAATGTATATTATCTGTATGTTTTTTAATATTTATATTTCTCTGCTGTATATATCTCTTACGTATTGAGTTATTGCTTTGTACGTGTTTTTCCATTGTCTTTTTGTATTTGTTAAACTTCTTTTGGGCTTGTTATGTACTGGGGGAATCAATTGCTCGATGACATTTCCAAAATTCAATGTAAAATAAATAAATATCTAGGACAAACAACCCAAAAAAAATTTCCAGGGTTGCTTGGATTTAATCCTGGATCTCCACAGCAGTAAGCCAAAGCTTTAACTGCCTCGGCCATCCGGCATTGGTTACACATTAGTTTAAATTGTATATCTTCTTCCGTTAGTTGAACAACATTTATAAAATATAAGGCAAAATTATCCTAAAGAATTTATTACAAGACTCACACTTGCAAAATGTTAAAATTATAAACTATTAACAATTGAAATGTTTAAAACCGTACACTTATCCGTTGACGGTTTTACAAATGTACTGCAAACGTCTTGACGCCATATTATGCAACACTGTGGGATATCTAAAAGAAGTTTAGTTTCAGAGATATTGCTGTCAAAGAACTTTATGGCTTTATTACATCTCATACTTCACTGAACCTCACTATCTCTTCCAAATTATCAAGTACAGACTCAGTACTGTATGTTGACCTGTTAATTACCATATATTTTAGTCTAAATTTAATTAAATCCACAACTAATCTTATAAAATTCTTAGTTACCTTTCCCCATTTAGAATGGCGTATTAAAACTTTAATACTTGCATGAATGTGCATAATACACTCCCGTATCACATTTTAGTTGAACTCTGCACCAGTCTATAAAGTTACGTTAGATCCAACAATTTTAAAGCATTAATTGGCTTAAAAATTTTAAGGCATCTTATACAAGAAGTTAATTATAATCTATGTTTTAGTTTTTGTATGCAATTGATTATTATCATATCAAATTCGCTTGTATATTAACCAAATGAACTGCTTTTGGTTGGTTGGTTATGAGCTGGTAGGGCTTGAGCTACTAGTCTATGCATCCTTTAAGTGTATTCTTTTCTTTTCTGGTTATTTTTATAGTGTTTTTATTAATTTCATAATCATATTTACAGCAATGTTGATTGACTGTCGAAAAATCACTATTACTGTATAGCTTTAATGTACTTTTGTATACGGGTTTTTAATTGTGTTAAGGTTTCCCCAATGTAAATACTTGGATTTGTACAATTACAACTGAATTTATACACCACTACTCTGTTCAAATATACTGTTGTTTATTTCTTATCTTTAAGTTTTATATATAAAAGGCATTTTTGAAAGGATGAAGAAAATTTCGATTGATTACAATATTCAGTTAATCCCAGAATGCACTAATACTATAATATCATGGATTAATAATAAAAAATATAGAAAAATAAAAGATAGCACAAAAATTACCTTTGGTTTTCAATGTCACTTTTTGTTAATTTCAGAGTAAACCATTTTGGATTATGGTTCGAGCTATTAAAGAATTTGTCGACAAAGAAGGGAAAGGTAAGAGATTTGATAAAAATAATTATAACAATATTTAATCTGTGAAATTAAAATAATTAATTAATTTATAATACAGGTTTACTACCCCTCCAGGGAACGATTCCCGATATGACGGCCGATTCTAAACGTTACATTGAGTTGCAAAATGTGTAAGACAAAATACAAATTTATAAATATGAATGTTTTTATTCCTGTTTTACTTATCTCTATGACATTTATATGTCATTAGTTATAAAAGCCAAGCTAATTGCGATGTAAAGTGTGTAGCGGAGAAAGTACAAGAACTGTTGAATTCGCTTGGGAAGGTAAAAATAAATGTATATAATTTATAAATAATTATGCTATTAAATTGTTTCAAATATTTTTATTATAGCCTCAAGATCTAATTTCTGAATCAGATATACGATTGTTGTGTAAGTATAGTTTTGCATTCGTACGGGATCTTCCAAAATGAATGCTACCATTTTAAATTACCATAATTATGTTAATTGTTATCTGAAGTATGCAACACATCCCAATCGATAGAGTAATTGTCTGAGTTTTGTCTCTCATCTGCATTCAAATTTCCTTTTATCTGAATTACTCATCACCATGCAACACAAGTAACATGCAAAAACTGTAGAATTGTGGTTGAATGGGAGAAGTGCTGGCAGAATAGAAAGAACTTCAGTGCAGTGTGGCACAAGGTGCACACATTTAGAAATTATAATGGACAAATATGAAACTTTGACGGTTTTCCAATGTTTTGATGCATATTACAACAGTCTCTGATAATAATTAATGTAATTACAATAATTTAAAATGGTAGCATTGTTTTCAGAAGGCTCTGTATATATTTATTTAAAGTATATATTATTATATTAACTGATTATTATTCATTTTAAGGTAAAAACTGTACATATTTGAGAGTAGTTCGTGGACATCCCTTAACTGAAGAATATAATGCGAAAACAGCTAAAGTTCACGAAATCAGTAAGGAAATTTTTCTTTAAAATAATTTTAAAGAAAATAGAATCTGAAATTGCCAAATTATTCAAAAAATTATTTTTAAATTGCAGCGCAACATTTAGATAATCCAGATAGTGAAATGGTATTTTATGTTTTACTTAGAGCAGTTGATAGATTTTATGGTGAATACAATCGTTATCCTGGTTACTTCACAGATCAAGTAGAACCTGATATTGTAAAATTAAAAGTAAGATTTATTAATTAATATATATACAATGTACGGACACTCTCAAATAACTGATATATCGACTTAACAGACATTTTAACAATCCCCAGACACTTGAAATAGAACATCTATTTTATTTACTGCTAAATAGCAGACAGACTTCTTAGTCTCAATGATATCTGTTGTTTGGAGGTTATACTGTATATTTATGTACACTAGTTGCGTGCCATCATTGGAAGCAGTGGATGCGTTGCTTCCCTTGTATTTTCTAAAAAAGAAATACATATTAATTTTAATTATATGAAAATAATCACACAATATTTTATCATAACTGCATTATGTATCTTATTACAAATTTCTATACTACGTGTGAAAAAAAAGATAAGATTGCTATTGTATATTCGAATATTAGTGGCAGAGTGGAAGCGCTGTATTGTCAGCATCCAAAAAGCCAGATTTGCGCATGCACTTTACAGAGCACCAACCTCACCTGGTTTAGCTGGTGGAAGCCTAGGACCGTGGGTGGATGCTACACGTATACCGCATCCAATTCTATCCAGGACCGGTTCTGGGCTGTTAGCCGCCTGCCTGCTAGATATTTGGCCGCCCTCGCCCGATTACGTGAATCACGAGTAGATTTATAACTTAACCCAACCGATAAGAATTTACTGGTATGTTTTTATGATAGTTCTGTATAGTTGACAGGAGTT